TGTGACGTAAGTAAAGCTTTTGATAAAGTTTGGCACAATTATAATTTATAAGCTACACCATTATGGTATTTGTGGCAATTTATTGAGATGGTTTGATAGTTACTTAGAAAATCGATATCAAAAGGTAGTTATAAATGATTATAGCTCAGATCCAAAAGCTGTCTTGGCAGGTTTGCCACAGGGCTCGATCCTGGGACCATTATTGTTTAGTATCTATATCAATGACATTGTTGAAGGAACACATAGTAATATAAGACTTTTTGCTGATGACACATCTTTGTATGTGTTCATAGTAGATCCTGATATAGCTGCTCGTGATCCCAATAATGACTTGGACAGAATTTCAGAATGGGCTGGTAGATGGCAAGTTAAATTTAGTCCCGAAAAAACTGAATCTATCCAATTTACCCGTAAAGTAAACCCTAGTCGCAAACCTAACTTGTATATAAATGGTACAGAAATGTACAAAGTCATAAGCACCTAGGTATTACTTTACAAAGTAACTGTACATGGAAAATGCACATTGAGGATATTGTAAGGAAATGTTGTCCTCTGGTTAACTGTTTAAGGAATTATGAATATCGTCTATCCCGAACTATCTTAGAAACTATGTACAAATTATTTATTTTACCAGTTTTTGATTATTGTTGTCATATTTGGGACAACTGTACTAATGAACAAGCTAACTTATTAGAATAAATACACTTAGATGCTCTTAGAACCATATGTGGTGCTGTCCGGGGTACGAGTCAGCAGAAGATTTACAATGAAACAAATTGTAGGTCATTAAAAGGCAGAAGATACAATTTAAAACTGGTAATGTTTTTTCAAAATGAATAACCATTTATCCCCGGAATATCATTGTAGGCTTATTCCTTATACACTTTCGGAAAACATCAATTATGACTTAAGGGATAAAACTAATCTTCAAACAGTGAAGTGTAAAACAAAAGCTTATGCAGATTCATTTACACCAGCTACAACACAGCTTTAGAATATGTTACCAGAAAACCTAGCAGGGGCAGGGACCGTTACACAATTTAAGAACTTGCTTCACGTAAAGTGAGATAATGGTATACACTGGGTAAATTATGGAAGCAGATTATGTCAAATCGTTCAAAGTCGCCTCAGGCTTGGCTGCAGCGATCTTAACGCAGATCAGTATAACAGATATATCTTGGATACAAAAACTTGTTCTGTGGATATCATACCGAAGATGCTCTACACTTCTTTTTTTGTGTGTAAAAATTACTACATTCTTCGAAATGAAATGTATTTTTACCAACATGGTTATTCTTTACAAACAGTGCTATGCGGAAATTCGTATTTGAGTAAGAAAGAGCAAATCTTAATATTAGATTCTATTCAAAACCTTATATTAAGAACTGGCAGATTTTCATTTAAATGAATTGTTTAATATAAACTGCAAATAGATTTATTATATATACACGTCTAGCTTGGCATGTACATTTCATTTGTTACATCTAACCTCCATTGATGTATTTATTGTAATATGTCCTATGTGTAATGTAGCGGTATTAACATAAGCGCTTCGCTTGTTTACCAATCCATTTTCACACTTTTGTGAAAATAAATATGTTTAAACCAACTCCCCTTTCCAATTAAATCTTCAAGTTGTTGGTTGCTTGTCCTCACACATCTGCATTATTCCAAATTATAAGAAAATCATCGTTATGACCTTCAGCTGTATTCGATGTCTTAAAAATGTTTGTACTTTAACTAGACCAAAACGGCAACCTTCTATCAAACATATATGTGACGTTTTCATTACAATCAAAAACACCATTGCAATCCCGTCAAGTCATAATGAGAAGAATGATCAGATACCGACCACTAGGCTCTCTTAAAGTCTACCTTAGCCAGAACGTTTCCTGGTTTAATATGAAGTAAAGCATGCCAAAGGTCTCTGTAAGTACAGTCACATTCAACCATATAACTGTTCATACCTCATGGGAAGACTTTCAACATTAATTAGACGCACATTTTAACTGGATTCAGGAATGGCAGTGTCACAGTGCTTAACTGTTGGTTTTTGTTTAACGCCTCACTCAGCAATATTCCAGCTAGATGACGGCGGTCTGTAAATAATCGATTGTGACATCATGAGCATCGATCCACGCAATTGATATACTATGACTGCATCAACCATGTCAGCGAGCCTGACCATCCGATCCCGTTAGTCGCCTCTTACAACAAGCACCTTACAATTGGTGTGTCAGGCTGCAGGAGTAAACATATAACCGTCAGGGGGTAACTCTCATAGAGAAGTATAGTTCATGGTTAAAAAGAACAAACAGACAACGTTGTGGGTTTCAATTTCAACAATATCTGCATGTCTCCATGTGCAGATCTACTTCATTATAAAATAAGATAGCAACATTGTAGCTATTATTTTGAAAAAATTAATGATGAACAAAATATTGATATCTTTACCACTGTAGATATATCAATGTCAACAGTATCATGCAGGTAAATATGATTCTGTCAACCTGGTACTCCATGTTCCTTGCAAACAATAAAAAAGGTTTCAGGAAGTCATTGTTGTGAAAACATATCACCAGTTTTGTCTGCATCATGTTTTTGTTTTTCTCATTTTATATTACATACATTTTTTAACTGAAATGTGTCATATTCACATTCCAGATTCTAAAGGTACCACATGCAAATTACAACTTGTTTTATCTTCTGGGTAACAAGGGTGAGCTTTATGCATCAATAGGTAGGTATGTTACAAAATTTCTTTGGCCCTGTTGATCCGCTTTAAATCACGGTGAGTTGGTGTGATATGCCAATCAGTTCACACATAATTTCGCCGAAATTAATGCAAGCAATATTGAATGAAATTTTCAATAAATTTTATAAAACGGATTACAACTAGTCCAGGTATACGACGAACACTTTTTACAATGGGAGAAGAACATATAGGCGTGTATTATGCGAACATCCATCCAAATTGTTGGGAGCAGGCTGTACTCGAGCGAGTTTAGTATTTCCTTTATTACTCACTACTCACTACGTGTATCATCACGGCTCACTCACTACGTGTATCGTCACAGCTCACTCACTACGTGTATCATCACGGCTCACTCACTAGGTGTATCATCACGGCTCACTCACTACGTGTATCATCACGGCTCAATCACTACGTGTATCATCACGGCTCACTCACTAGGTGTATCATCACGGCTCACTCACTACGTGTATCATCACGGCTCAATCACTACGTGTATCATCACGGCTCAATCACTACGTGTATCATCACGGCTCACTCACTAAGTGTATCATCACGGCTCACTCACTACGGGTATCATCACGGCTCGATCACTACGTGTATCATCACGGCTCGATCACTACGTGTATCATCACGGCTCACTCACTACGTGTATCATCACGGCTCACTCACTACGTGTATCATCACGGATCGATCACTACGTGTATCATCACGGCTCACTCACTACGTGTATCATCACGGCTCGATCACTACGTGTATCATCACGGCTCACTCACTACGTGTATCATCACGGCTCACTTACTACGTGTATCATCACGGATCGATCACTACGTGTATCATCACGGCTCACTCACTACGTGTATCATCACGGCTCACTCACTACGTGTATCATCACGGCTCGATCACTACGTGTATCATCACGGCTCACTCACTACGTGTATCATCACAGCTCACTCACTACGTGTATCATCACGGCTCACTCACTACGTGTATCATCATGGCTCACTCACTGGTGTAGCATCACGGCTCACTCACTACGTGTATCGTCACAGCTCACTCACTAAGTGTATCATCCCCATTCGCGCACCTCACTCATCCTCGGTAACAATTCATACAGTTGAGATAGTCGATCCTTTTCACGTGGGCTCGGTTTACTCCAGTCTGCTACTACATTCACGTTGCCTGCTCTGCAATAAACACAAGGTTCAAGGGAAACAATATAAGTAGCCATAAGCCAGAAAAGGTACCTTAAATACACCAATGCCAGATGACTTCTTGTTGATCCTTTATACATTATGGCCTTGACAGTCAGAGTATCTTTCTTGGTCACAATGTGTTTATTCTGCCAAATTTCCCACCACCTTAATGTTTGTGTGTCAGCTATCTCTGGCATATTCCAAGGCCAGGTAGCACAGACAAAGTTTCCATTGTAGCATGCAACTGCACACCGAATACTGGTCGCTGGTCTAGGAAATTTACACAGCCATTAAAATGATTACAATTGTTTTTCCACCACTTTATATGAAGATTAAAGATGGCATCCTGGACAAATTTGTCGCCACTTTCTTTGAGTGCATTTGTTTTCAGACCACCGAGTCTTCTGAAAATGTCCTACCACCTTGAACAAACATGCTTGACCAACTCACCTTTCCAGTGAGAAACGCAGACTTTGAGGTTGACATTTGCTTGACCTCTTCCTGATGGAGTATTCTTAGTAAGGTTAAGTTGTGTGGTCGACTCGGGACTTTGGGGTAAATTAAAATAGTTAGTTGGTGGCTTAGTTCAAGGTGGATATGTGCAGCTGATGTAGTACCTACCTTTGTATTCATTTATTGTAGCAGCCGTAGTGGCCATGGCTAGAGACCCCTAAAATATTAAGTTTGTAGGACATGGTAATCGGGTGTTGTTAATAATCGTGTCTGGTGATAAATAATTCACGGCATCGGGGTATGATGACAGTCAATCGACCAAGTCACCTTGCATGACCACCCGATCATATCTAATCAGTTCTTACCATTAACATTGGATACTGGGGATGCTTCCCTCCTTCTAGCACATTCGGAAAAAATGATCTTAATATTAGAGTACTTAAAAGGCTGTGTACATGCAATCTGAAATATTTGGAAACGTCCAGGTGTCCACTCTTAACTTAACAAACAACTGATAAAAGTAAGCTTGTCATTCCTTTAGATAAACAAGCACACCTTGTACTATTTAGATAGGGGATAGCATATAAATATCAAACAGCTCAGTGCATCCTCAGTGAAGACTTCTTGTCTATGTACTTAAGGCAGTCATCAAGAAGTATGATGAAAATATTGATCGTAAACTTGTTATTACTAGGAATAGTACATTCAAAGAAGAATATTTTGTTTTTGGTTTCGGATGATATGCGACCCAATATCGGTGCCTACAATGGACCAGATGAGCCATCTCCTGTTCATCCACCGATGCACACACCAAATATTGATGCGCTTGCTGCTAGATCCCTCCTCCTAAAGCGAGCTTATGTCTCAGTTGCTTTATGCAGTCCCAGCAGGACGGCCCTTCTGACCAGCAGGCGCCCTGAAACAACTCATATCTGGACCATCGGACCATACTTTCGTCAGTATGGAGGTAATGTCACCACATTGCCTGAGTATTTCAAACAAAATGGGTATCGGACCATTGGAATGGGGAAAATATTTCATCCAGGATCATCCTCCGGAATTGACGATCCTGTTTCGTGGACTGATCCCTACACCCATGCTGTTGATGATTACTTAGGTAACGATATTCTAATTGAACCTGTCTCAGAGGAAAGAGCTAAGGCGCGACCACTACAGGATCAGCTTCTTGCTGAGTATGCCATTCAGGCACTTAAAGAGGTGGCCCCCAAAGCTAAGTCAGGTGAGCAACCTTTCTTTCTGGCTGTGGGGTTCCGGAAACCCCATGTTACCTGGAACTTCCCTGCACGCTTTATGGATTACTATCCTCTGGAAAGTCTGAGGCTACCACCAAATTACTATGCTCCAGTAGGAATGCCTGCTATTGCTTGGCATGATTTCATTAATCTGACTAGGTATAAAGATATGGAACCCTACCACTTGAGTCCTAATGTTGGTGGCATCAACTATACATTTCCGAAAACAATTACTCTTCAGATGCGACAAGCTTATTACAGCTGTATAAGCTATATAGATTATGAACTTGGTAGGGTCATTGACGAACTGGATAACTTGGGATTGACTAATGATACAATAATATCATTCTGGGGTGATCATGGGTGGCAGTTAGGGGAACATGCTGAATGGCAGAAGATGACGAATTTTGAAGATGCTGTCCATGCTCCTATGATGATTCATGTTCCTGGGGTTACTGATCATGGTGTTGTCACTGAGAAACTAACAGAATTTGTTGATCTATACCCCACCCTCGTTGAGGCTGCAGGACTTCCAAAACTCCAGCAGTGTCCACCAGACTCCCAGAATGTCAGTCTGTGCACAGAGGGTACAAGCATGGTGCCACTTATGACAAACCCGACATTGGATTCTTGGAAGACTGCAACTTTCTCTCAGTACGCAAGAATAGGCAATGGAATTAATGGTGACTCAGTCATTGGTTTCAGCATGAGGACAGAGATGTATCGATACACCGAGTGGATCAATTGCAAGGGCATGCCTAGCTATGAACCGATGTGGGAACAGCTGCAAGGAGTTGAACTCTATGATCATACGAAAGACCCAGAAGAGAACTGGAATCGAGCAGATGATCCAGCCTACAAAGACGTCAAGGTCGAGTTGTCCAGGAACCTGCAGTTGGGCTGGAGAGGGGCTCTACCTAACATACGCGTATGAAACCGTCAAAACCACCTGTAACTTCATTTCATGTTCAAACTTCTCGAGATATAAATGATTATTTTGCAAAGAAGATGTTGTTTGCTCATTTTGTTTCAATTTACATTTCAGCGTGAATGGATGTCAATTTACTTATAACAGAGACACCGTCACTGCAAAATGGTTTGACAGATGCTCAACCAAAATTGTCAGAAACAACGAAGATAAGTTCTGATACTCATGGTGCGGTGAGCTAAAACTGTTGGTGTAATATATATTCCAGTACAAGAAACTGACAAACAACCATATCCATTAATGAACAGCTTTGATACTTTATTGGTTATTTTGGGAACAGTGATATCAACTGTGGTGTGAAATGATGATAGCTAAAACATTGGGTTTGATTTCAATTGGTTCCAAGATGGGTTTCGATCTGAACACACATGAAAAATAAAAAACAATTGTCTTTGTATATATTTACAGTTTTGTACAGTCGAACCTGGTGAGTACCTGGAAAACGTCGTTTAACGATGACCACTTTACCCATGAACTTGCCAATTGCACTTGCACTTGCACATGTGAATTTTGTTGTTTATATATGCATATCTCAGGAGTAAGTTTAATAATATTTTTTTCATAAAGAAGTGTTTCAAAGTAATAATTGCATTGTTGTATTTTATGATTTACAAGATCAGTGGAGACCGCAACGTTGTGAGTGTGTATTTCTTTTTTCACCATGAACAATACCTCTCAACTGTAGACGTACAATCCACATGCATACTCTCTGACCATAAGGATTTCTTTCCAGGATGATTCTGCTGTATGGCGGCAGTGCCAGAACGAGGGATGAGAAACAGCCAAATTGCTTTAGATGTAAAATGTAAGTATAGTAAATTAAGTTAGCAATGTATAATCCTCATTTCCGGTTTCAAATACAACACCACATGTTTTAAGACAATCATTCCACTACAGGCCTTTTGCCCAAAAAACTTGCAACAGTGGTAAGATGTGTTTTGTCTATTTTTCACCAAGGATGCGATAAATTTAGACCATTTTTATGGTGTTAAGTGTACTGCCATAGTTTTAATTGCTCTGGGTTTTTTCATATATAGAACTAGATCCCCATGTCAATGAATTGGATTGCATTTTATTGGATGGAACTTCTTTATATGCACGGATAACACGCGATTCTTGTTTACCAGGGTATTTAGGGCACAATCAGCTTCCTGATACAGTGCCATTTTGTGGGAGGACATTTAATCTCAGATATTTTCTTGATTTTTAAAATGGACACATTGATAACTATCTTGGTGTTAAGGCAGGAGAAACATGTTTTTTTTCCATTCAGTCAGTCAAGTAGTCATTTTGTCAAATCATCTTTTGCTCACGGTCAATGATCGTATGGTAGCACTGCATGAGGATGTAGTCAATAGTCTTACGGTAGCACTGTATGAGGATGTAGTCAATGGTCTTACGGTAGCACTGTATGAGGATGTTGTCAATGGTCTTACAGTAGCACTGTATGAGGATGTAGCCAATGGTCTTACGGTAGCACTGTATGAGGATGTAGTCAATGGTCTTACGGTAGCACTGCATGAGGATGTGATCAATAATCTTACGGTAGCACTGTATGAGGATGTAGGCAATGGTCTTACGGTAGCACTGTATGAGGATGTAGTCAATGGTCTTACGGTAGCACTGCATGAGGATGTGATCAATGATCTTACGGTAGCACTGCATGTGGATGTAGTCACTGGTCTTACGGTAGCACTGTATGAGGATGTGATCAATGATCTTACGGTAGCACTGAATGAGGATGTAGTCAATGGTCTTACGGTAGCACTGCATGAGGATGTGATCAATGATCTTACGGTAGCACTGCATGTGGATGTAGTCACTGGTCTTACGGTAGCACTGTATGAGGATGTGATCAATGATCTTACGGTAGCACTGAATGAGGATGTAGTCAATGGTCTTACGGTAGCACTGTATGAGGATGTAGTCAATGGTCTTACGGTAGCACTGCATGAGGATGTGATCATTGATCTTACGTTAGCACTGCATGAGGATGTTGCCAATGATCTTAAGATCTAACTTAATACATAAATAGTATAAAATGTAATAAAGGTTAACAGTCTCCGAGCCAATGGCAGAGGCACCACCAGCACAAGTGCCAACCAAAGAGGATGCATACGCCAGATCCCCTGCAACTGTAGCCACCAACACATTGGAGAAACCCTCAGACCAATCAACACCAGTCTCAAAGAACTTCAGACCTCTGTCAACAAACTAGACCTGAAATCTGCTATTTCCGAACACATCATCAAGAACCAAGACCATAGCATCATGTTGGAAGTCACCAAAGTCCTGTCTACCAACAACTGGCGACAAAGAAAACTACAAGAAGACAACATCGGTAGACACCAGCCAGCCATGAACCTTGACCAGGGATCCTATCTGCCCAGTGCTTGGGACTTATTGCTTTGATTATTGTCTGTGGCTTATTATCCAGTTGGCTTCCATTTGTCCATTGTCATTTCTATTGCTATTACCTACCAGTGCTAATTACCACCTGCCTCCCGTTTGCCTATTTCCAATCAGTGATAATTGCAGTCCTGCTGTCACCTATCAGCGCTTATTAACTGCTAAGTGTTGGCTTCTATTTGTCCACTGCGATCACCTATCAGGGCCAATAAACTGTTGGCTTCCCCCGTTTAGTCTCCACCTTTGTTATCTTATTACTTCTGTTGTTCTTACAGGTACATATATATGTTCTCTGCTTCATATCATTAATTCACCTGATGAAGGAGTAAGTACACACTCCGAAATGTTCCTCATAATAAAGAAGTTGACATCCATAAATTCTCTTCTTTATGTGCATCACTTCTAAATGCCATTCAAAGAGTGCATAAAGGTATCTAAACCTCATAATCAGACATATACATTAGAATATTTATGAATACTCTATTGCTCTCAATAACCGAGGAGTGAACTATTATGATTATAACTGTAATTACATACATGCTTTTTCATAAGAGAAAGTCAATTGAACCGCGAAATGCGTACAGATCGGTATTACTAGACTGTCAAATGTAGTCAAAAGTAACAACAAATGAATATGATCGAAATATAACCGAGAAATATCTTTACTCATGGCATAAAAACAATATTGTGGCTATGTACATGAAGAGTAAGCGTTGTATGTTGCCTTCCATGCGACGGTTGTCTTTAATGAAACCAGAGTATCAAGTAATGGACCAGCCAGAAAATCCAGTGACATCATAGTGCATTTACTGCTTTTTGTAGAAACTGAAAACAGATATGTTAAATTGTAATTACGTCTGCCCTGTACAAAGGCAGAAGGTTGTGTGGAACGCAGCATGGATAGAATCTGTATTGGCGGACAATCGAGACTGGTCGTTCTCTGGTGTTGATGTTTTATAACTTTTCAAAAAATATTTTGTTCTGTTATCTGCTGCAAAACTGAATTTTAAGGGTCGTGTCTATAAGATGTTACGACATTTATAGGCTGTTATAATGTGTTATGGTATAAAAATGTTTTAAATATACTTAGCTGTAAACATGCTTAGGATTTATGTCGCTGAACGAACAAAGTCTTTTTGTATTTTAACTTTACACGTTAATGACATGTCACACATGTCAAGGGCTCAATATCCCAAAACATTACCATGCTTTGAACATAACATGTTCATGAAAAGTGTGGAATATAGTTATTGGTGGCATATGCATTAGTTACCTCCTCCAGCTCGCGAGTCAACACGAGGTACGTTTACATACATCTACTGTAGTAACAATCGTTGTATCAGAAGAGTCAGAAGAGGAATTTCAACTGTTGTGCGATGTCCAATCGGAACACATTTAGACATTAAATACTTGAATATTTCACCACGTTGCTTTGATAAATACAGCAGCAAGCAGAGTCAAGCAAGGATTGTAGAAATGTACATATTTGAACGGATATGTTTTAGCTCTTGCTCCGTGTTGACGTTGTCGTCTTGTAAGCATCTCAGAGTAACATACACCAAGTACCAAAACTGTTTAAACGGTTTAGAGGGTAAGAGAGAGAGGGATGAGTGGGTCGCCGGAGTGTGCCTACCTCTAATACGAAGACAGAGATCATATTGGGCTAAATATTAGCTGAGATAATGATAAGTATAAGATCTTATAAAAGCTAATTGAACTCACATTCTTGTGAAACTTAACGATATACTGTTTGGGACCCAAACTTCAATAGCGTAATTGCACTGAGCTGAGATAATCAAGACTGGGTATTCTCTGTTAGTGGATCGTGAAAGGCAGTAGCATGTTGGCAATTGTGATCTAGAAGAACATTGTGAGACGTGATATTCTTGTGGTGATGTCTGGTTATAATTCACATAATAAACATTGCTAACACATGTTGAAATGTTGAAGAAATTGTCAGTTTGAATTAAGCCCCCTAGAAATGTCCCTGAACTCTGCTTGACCATTCGTCCCCCTGCTATTCCTATGAATACCCTAAATGACCTAGGCTATTTCTATACCTCCAACACTGACAAGTCAGCTACAAAGTTCCACCTATAGAAGATGCTTTCAAGCAGCACATGTTGAGAGCAGGGTTTCAGACGACAATATGGCTGCAGATATATACACTCATCTCATCTGCAGTGACATATCATATGTCATATGAACCTGAAGGCTTGAGTGGCAGTTGCAGTGATGGCAGAGACTAAATGTATCTTACTGTATTGGAGAAAAGTAATGGATTTGGTAATGAGTTACTGACAACATTGAAGCAGTTGCATACAAGTGCTTCACATTGACACGTCAAAGTAAGTCAATATGATCAGCAATTACAGTACATAACATAGGCGATAATTATCTTATATATTACAGTAACACGATGGATGGAGTTCCTGATCGAAACATAAATTTTGACATATAAATTTCTCATACATTCCGAAGTGAAGACGAAAATGGCACCCATCTTGGGGGCTATTTTGTCCGCCATATTGGATAAATCAAATTTCTCAAGCTCATATATGTAAGACACTTATACGATTCATGTGTTCAAATATAACAAATTGGTGAACA